GGCTACAGACAGAATGAGAACCAGGACACCTCTCTGAGCTTAAATGGAGACCCAGAAGGCACAGACAGAAGCAGGGAACAAGGAGGGCTGTTGCAAGGAAGGATGTGTCTTCACAGCACCCAGCTGCCTGCTGTGCTGTTTTCAGAACAGTGACACAACCTGCTGTGAGCCACCAGGCACCTTTGCCCTAAAGCATCCAATTTATGAGTGAGCTGCAAGCAGTTAACACTTAGCTCATAAAGTACCGACCCTGAAGTCTCAGTTATACCACACCTTGACCTCACAACTTCTGCAACTCTAGCAAGGAGCCAGTTTGAAAAAAATTAGACCCAAAATTGGAGCCTGTAGTAAAGGCTCCCTCTAGTGGTTATAGGGAAAATAATTTGGGATTTAGAGGGCTTCTGCACAAGGCTGAAGAAGAAAGCAAGGCTTCTGGGGTGTCGCCATAGGCTGTCTGGAAACTTGTCCCAGCCATGTCTCTGCCTTAGAAGCGGCCCTGACCTTTGCATGAGACATCAACAGGCTCCATAACACTAGTACCAAACACTAGTTACCTAACAATGTGTCTCTAAACCCAGGTCCTCCGGGCTGTTTTTCATAGCAGTATGCTCGCTTCCCATCCGAGTTTCTTCCGGCTTTGGGGCTGGGTTTTGTTCTGTTCTATTATTGTCATCTTACTATTTGGTATGTCTGTACCCACTTGTCTGTATGTGCTCCAGGAGTCTTTGGAACTGATTTCAGGCAGTTACTTGTGAGCCATCTGATGTGGAGTCTGGGAACCCAATCAGCAAGTGCTCTTAACAGCTGAGCCATCATTTTAATGCCTGAATAATCTCAGGCAAGAGGTCTTGGTATTGCTGTTTTTTGAGATGTGCTTGATAACCAGCTTGCAGATACTCAATTACACAGAATCCATCAAAGATAATATCCAAATGTTAACGTCTCTGGGAAGACTCAAACCAGTGTGCCAATCTGACCGAGTAAATATATCCACATTCTCTTTGCAAACCTAATCCATGCTGCCTCATATCCTGTGCAGTTACTGGCTGCCACAAGGCCTCTTACACCCAGGAGACACTCTGTCTCTAGGAAGGGAGACTGACGGCCACACGGTGGCAGATTTATATGGAGAACACTGGCACCTTCCATGCAGAAAGAGGCCTGGCAGCTGGGAGTAACCCAGTCCCCCTGAGACATAGGGAAAAGTGAACCGAGTGTACCTAAACTGGTGAGCTCTTACAAAAACAAAAATAAAGGCACAGGGAAAAGAAACTGAAGTGGCTATAACCTATAACCTTAAAAGCCATCTGTGTGACACACAGGGCCACGCTCAGTGTCAACCAACACCGTACAAATATGGTTTCTTTGATTTTCCATTCCTGCCAGGGAAGGGAACCCACAGCTTAGTTCTGGTTATCTCAGTTTCTAAGTAGGCTAATATATTCAATTGGGCCACTTACCTGATCTGGGCTTCAAATTCCTTCATCTGTAAAATTCAAAGTGCTAAACTAAAATAAATAAATGCACGTCTGACTGAATATACTCTAACTCCAAGGCCATAGCACATTCCCAGGCAAGGCTACTAAAATGGATTTTGTTGGTGTTACTTTTTCCAGGTAAAACTAAAGGCACAGGGCACCAGAGCTCTACCCCACACAACAGAGTGCAATGCTACCCACTGACACAGTATTTAAAGAGAAAAGGAAACCCTCAAATAGGCAGACCCTCTCACAGGCAGTGGCCCGAGCCAGCAGCTCACTGCCATGGCCTGTACAGACAGTCGAGACAGTGAAGTCTCTTCCTGAACAGCAACCAGAAGGCTCCTGTGAACTGAATGGAGAATTAGTTCTTTCTAGAGTTAGGAGAAAAACCCCTAATAATAACAACAATAATATACAGTAAAACCCTTTAAAGTAAACCTTAAATTATCAGACAAGTGTTTGAGAACACACCTTTACTGATGCTTAATTTGAAAGAGATCATTGGAAAATCAGCTTCTGCCTTTTCTCATTTCTAAATTTATACTTTCCACTAGCCCATCTAATCACAGTTGAAAAAGAGCTTTCTTTGCTGATTTCCACAGGTAATCATCATGAACACCACAGGTTGCATGACCATGTGAAGCCCAGCACAGTGGTCCATACCTATGGTTTGAGTTACTGTGAAGGTCAAGGCAAAGAGGTCAATTGAACAAGAATTTGAGATTAGCTTGTGCACTAGAGATAAATTCAAACTCAAATAAAAAACTTCAGATTCAGACTTATTGTGGTTCCATAACTGAGGATGAGATTGTGGGCTAGGGATATATAGCTCATTAGAGGAACACGTGAGCAAAATCCAGGATTAGTCCCTGGTACCCAATAAAACTCCCAAATCCCAAATTTCTTGGGTATCAGTATGTGGCTCACAAAGCACTCAGTTTCAGACTTTGGGGCTGGCAAAATGTCTCAGCAAGATAAAGGTGCTCATTGTGCAAACCTGACAACCTGAGCTTGGTTCCTGGAACCTACCTATAGGTGTAAGGCAAGAACACACTCCACCAATGTGAGTGCACTCTCCTGTGCACCTGTGTACACACACACACACACACACACACACACCTGTACACACACACCTGTACACACACACCTGTACACACACACACACACACACACACACACACACACACAGCACGCACACAGTGGTATATGTATCTACAATCCCACTCCACCAACATGTCTGGCCTCTCCTGTGCATGTGGGTACACACACACTGGCACCCACGCGCACACAGTGTGTCTTTGATTTTAATATTTAAAGATCTGCAGACTGGGAGCACTTAGCCTATAACAAACTGTTACTGCAAGTCATTTACAGCAAAGCCATGGAGTATGAGTAGTGACTACACATCTAAAATCTGTACATTCTGTAAAATCAAAATGACTCAAAGTTAATGTACACCTTAAATTCAATGTAAAATCTTATGAAAATTTATTTTAAAGTGGCTCTTCTGGTGTTTCTAGGTCCTTTTTTCTTTTTTTAAGATTTATTAACAGGAAGACTGAGTCAGGGGAAGAATAGAGGGAAAGCAAGAAAAGAGATACCTTAATAGAGGGAACCATTATAGGTTTAAAGAGAAAACTGGCACTAGGGAAATGTCCAGAGATCTACAAGGATGACACCAAGAATCTAAGCAACAGTGGAGAGACTACCTTAAATGCCCTTCTCCTATGAGATTGATGACTACCTTATATGCCATCCCCTTCATCCAGTAGCTGATGGAAGCAGAAGCAGACACCCACAGCTAAACACTGAGGCAAACTCCTGGAATCCAGTTGTAGAGAGGAAGGGGTCATGAGAAAAGGGGTCAAGACAAGGCTGAAGAAACCCAGAGAAACAGCTGACCTGAACAAGGGGGAGCTCATGGACCCCAGACTGATAGCTGGTAAACCAGCATAGGACTGAACCACGCCCACTGAACCACTACGGGGCCTCTAGTAGTGGAACAGTATTCATCCCTAGTGTACAAATGGAATTTGGGAGCCCATTACCCATAGAGGGATACTCTCTCAGCCTAGATAGACAGGGTAGGGCCTAGGCCCTGCTCCAAATGATATGACAGACTTTGAAGATCCCCATGGAAGGATGGGAGGGAGAGGGAACTTGGATTGATATGTAAAATAAGATTGTTTTTAATTTAAATTTTAAAAGATTTATTTATTATGTACAGTGCTCTTCCTGCATGTCTGCCTGCAGACCGGAAGAGGGCACCAGATCTCATTACAGATGGTTGTGAGCCACCATGTGGTTGCTGGGAATTGAACTCAGTACCTCTAGATGAATAGACAGTGCCCTTAACCACTGAGCCATCTCTCCAGCCTGTGTTTCTAGGTTCTATTAATGGACAAGTGCCTCTTAAAACAAATTCTTCCATAGATAATGACTTCAAGTCATTGGAAATACCAGCAAGCAAAACAAAGTTAAAGGTAATACCACGAAAGCAACCCCCCAAGTTTTCCAAGGCCACAGGAGCGCAGCAATGTAGCTTCGGGGTGGCACCCTTTGAAGGAGTAGAATTCAAGTTACACTGGTCAGTCCTGGGTAGAGTAACATAACTGTGATTGGTGACAAGCCACATTAAGGCTATACACTGCTAATATGATGGTACTTCATGTCTATTACTATTCACTCTAGAAAACTATCAGACAAACCCAAATGGAGGGACACTCACTATCTGCACTGTCAGGTTTGCCAGGTATAGTGGCACCCATATTCCATCCCAGCCCTCGGGAGAGAGAGGCAGGTGATCTCCGAGTCTTAAGGCCAGCCTGGTCTACAGAGCGAGTGCCAGATTTGCCAGAGATATATAGAGACCCTCCTTCAAGCCAAGCAAGCAAACACCTATCCACCTGCCAATCAAGTTATAAGAAACAAAGGAAGATGGAGAAAACCACACACCAGACATTAGAGCTGGGTGATACTAGTGAAATCTGAGAAAAATCTGCAGTTTTAATAGATGGTCATACAGTAATGCTGGGTGGTAAATACACCATAGGAACCATTGGGGGCTGAACTGTGTCCCTCTCCCCAAATTCACATGCTGAATCTGTAACCAAAAGAGACAGGGTCTTACAGAGGTCATTAAGTTAGTATGAGGTCTTAAATCCCATGACTGGAAAAGGAAATTCAGACACACAGATCTATCTATTAGTTTTTCAAGACAGGGTCTCTCTGTTTAACAGCTGTGGCTGTCCCAGAACTCACTTTGTAGACCAGGCTGGTCTTGGAACTCACAGAGATCGCCTGATGCTAGGATTAAAGGTGTGTGCCACCACTGCCCGGCTGATGTGTTTTTAACATCCTACTTCAAAAAGACACTATATTAAGAAAGTTTAAACACATGCACACACACTTGCTGCCAAGCCTGATGACTTGAGTGAGTTCCCACACCGTGTAAGGAGACACCCAGCTACCATCTCCCCATGCACATCATGGCAAGAATGTATGTACACACACAAATAATAAAATTTAGCAGAGATTCTTCAAGAATTCAAATAATAGAACTTAAAGGTAGACAAAAGATACAAATAAAAGTTTCACCACTGAAGATATACAAATGGCAAGCTCACAAGAAGTTGTTTAACATCATTGGTAATCAGAAAAATGCCAATTGAAACCCTTACTGAGACATTGTTTCACAGCCATAAGACTACTATTTTAAAAAGAAAAGGGAGTAACAAATAAAGATGGAAAAATAGTAACTCTAAATTAGTCAGAAACAAAATGGTCAGCTCCTTTGGGAAAGCTTGACAGTTCCTCACAAAGTAGATTTAGTTACTCCATGACCAAACAGCTCTCTTCTTAGGCACAGCCAAGAGAAACAAGAGTTCACAGCTCTTAGTGCACTGACACCCACAGTGGCATTACTTATAGAAGCAAAAGGAAAACAAAAACCCTACCAGCCCTGCTGATGGAAAGCAAACCCCAGTGCACACCTGCACAGGACAGTCCACATTACATCACAGATGAACCTTGACAACACTGTGCTAAGTAAAAGCCGCCAGTCACAAGGCTACTGGAATAACCAGAACAAATCTATAGCACAAGACTAAGAGCCAATTCGTGGTTGCCAGACACTGAGGAGTCTTCAGTTCACATCCACAATTTTAAAATTATAGAAATGACTGTACATATTCTGTGAATATACTAACCATACTGAATTGCACATAAAGACACATGGGTAAATTCTATGACATATGGATGGCATCACCTTTAAAATCAAAAGGCCCTAAAGACCTCATGGGGAATGTTGCTTCAGTAACAGTCTTACTTTTTGTGTGCTACTAGGGACCAAACCTAGGGCACTGAGCTACTTCCACTGGTCAGTTAACAACATCTCCTCAAACTGTCCTGACTTATCCAGGAAACAAGGAAACTACATGACTCATGTTTGAAGTCAACATTCTGAATTTCACTTAAAACTGCTTTCCCAAACCCACAACGACTTGTTAAAAAACACTGCCATACTAAATTTACAATGTCCAAAGGGTAGGAGTGGCTTGAGAAATGGCTCAGTGCCTAAGAGCACTGACTGCTCTTCCAGTAGTCCTAAGCTCAACTTGTAGCACCTGAGCAGAAACTCACAAATGTCTGTAACTAGCCCTAGGAGATCTGATACCCTCTTCTGGATGTATGGACAGAGACAAAAATATTCAAAAATGTTCACCCTGAGTGAAAACAGGGTGTTTAGCAACCTTTAAAGAAACTCAGCAACACCTACCAAATTTACAACAAGGTGGTTAGGATAACACTCCCTTAAGATTTTGATTGGGAGGCAGACGTAGGCAGATGAGACCAGTCTGGTCTACAAGAGCAAGTTCCAGGACAGGCTCCACAGCTACACTGGGAAACCCTGTCTCAAAAAACCAAAAGACTGGGACTGGACCGACCCAAGGAAAGACCCTAGCAGTGTTACACTTTGAAAAGTTCATAACAGATTAAAACCTGCATCCAGAATTAAAAACTCACTGATGCAATGACAGAATACAGAACTACATTTTTCAATCCTCTTATACAAAATATGCATTTCATGTTTCTAATCATTACAATGACAAAGAGCCACATTTACACTAGTCACAAACCAATCATTTAATAGAAGCTATAAAAAGTATAACTGATAAAATAATTTGGAATAATATTTAGAATATCTCAAAAGATTTAAAATAGGAGAACACTTTACAAAAAGCTGTGTAGGAAATAAAATTCCTCGACTATACGTAGAAATGTAACATTACAGGGGAGTTTATAAAATACAAAGACAAGTATAAAAGCACTGTGTATTCTAAATCCAAAAACTCAATAATAACCAATTATTTAGTTTTAAAATTTACAGTTCTTGAGTATGAAGACCACATTATTATACACATCTTCAAGGCAGCAGGCAGTATCTTTCAATTAACCATGTGTGGTATCATCTTCTACAAAATCTTTGGCCATCTCTGCTGTGATCACGTCAATATGACTAACCTGAAGAACAATGAATATTGAAGTCTGTTAGATCTTAAAGGAACTACATCAGTGTTTACACTGCATAGGGTAGTATCTAAGATATACAGCTACCACCTACAAAATTTTTATTTTTACAAACCACATCAAGAGATTCTAAAGCATTGGCTGTTGGAAGTCTTTATTAACAACCCTGTGTATTCAATGTGGAAGGATAAAAAACATTCTACAGCCTGGCATGATGTCAACACCTATAATCCTAGCACTCAGGAGGGAGAGGCAAGGTTGACAGTTGAGGGCAGCCTGGGCTGCCAAGGATCAAGCCCCAAAGCCGTATGGATGCCAGATAAGCACTTGGCCACCCACAGTTTCACCAGCAAAAATCAAGGTAAAAATGGTGTGAGAGTTATGAGAGAAGTTTTCTTTTTCGAGAAAGGCATCATCATTTAAACAATGACTTTTTATGTCTTTCACTAATGTAACATAAAACCAAAATAAAAAATATAATGAAAAATAAACACCAACCCAATACAACATAAAATTACCTTATTTCTGAACTTTACACCATAGAATTTGTCGGCTGACTCAAGTAGTTCAGGCCTAAAAGTAGTAGTAATAAACTGGGCATGCACAGCTAGTTCCATGATCATATCTGTGAAAACAAGGAATAAATGAATAAATCTCTTTTCTCATACCTGAAATTTAAAAAGCAACTATTTTTATTCCTGCCTAAACTAAAATTCAAATCTGCTAAAGCAGCCTATGATATTTTTGGTTTGCAAAATTTACCAATTTAACTTTTCATAAGTAGGAATAAAATCTTTAACTAGCCATGTTATGTGGCACACATCTTTAATCCCAGCACTCAGAGAGGCAGAGGCAGGTAAATCTCTGAGTTCAAAGCCAGTCTGGTCGACTCTTTACAGGGCCACATAAGGACTCAGTACATATTGCACAAGCTTCCCTTTTTAAGAAAGTGCCCCTCACCCCTTCTCCTGAGTTGGCCAACACCTAGCCCCCCCCATTCCCTTCCTCCAATAAACTCCATGTGAGTGTGTAAGGAAAAAAACACAAAAAAACAAAAAACAAAGCCAGCCTGGTCTGTAGACTCAGTTCCAGGACAGTCCAGGACTACACACAGAGACACTCTTGTCTCAAAACAACAGCCAAAAAAAACCCAAAAAAAACAAAAAACCTTCCATCCTAGTTATGTCTTACAGCTACAGAATATAACAACGTCTTTATTTACTATAAAGAAACTTCTATCCTAGTATAGTGATAATATAACACAGCATGTGGGAGGAGGCAACAGGATCAGAAGTTGTCCAAGTTCATCCTACATGACAGTCTCCAAAGGAAACACCAAAAACAAATCTAAACAGAAGATTTTTAACACATAAATGTCAGAGCCAAAGCCGGGCATTAGTGGCGCACACCTTTAATCCCAGCACTCGGGAGGCAGAGGCAGGTGGATCTTTGTGAGTTTGAGGCCAGTCTGGTCTCCACTCCAAAGAGAAAAAGGAAAACCCTCTCTCAAAAAACAAAAAAAAAAAAAAAAAGTCAGAGCCAATCATTTTCTCATATACAAAATCAAATGCTAAGTATGTCCCTCCTGTTACTACATCTGAAAGGTTTCAACTTGTAAGATGTAGTAGCATCTCTAAATAAAAAATTAAGTGTATGACAAGCACTACTTTCTGAGCATCTTTTGTGTGTGTGCACAAAGTTTTACCTGCACGTACACATATGCAGCATGTGTATACTCAGTACTGTCCCTCAGAAGTCAAAAGAGAGTGTTTAGATCCCTTGAAACTGGAATTATGGATGGCCCTGAGTCACCATATGGGTGCTTGGAATCAAACCCAGATTCTGCAAGAGCAGCCTTAACTGCTAAGCCATCTCCATAACCACAAGTACTACCCTTAATGGCAGAAAAACAAAACAAACAGAAAACAAAGCAAGTTTTAAGGCTTTTGCATAAAAATTGCATTGAAGAATTACATCTATTTCTCAAACGTAAACCATGAAAACAGTCTAATACCTAATTATTAAAGAGAAAATATTTATTGAATATACAGTGTCCACCCAAATACTTCAGGTAACAAGTCATTAAGAAAAGGCTGAGCTAGCATTATTATTATCTTTAAGACATTTCTTGAGACAGGGCTCAATGCATCCCAGGCTGGCCATGACCTTAACAGAGTTTAGGATGGTCTTGAACTCTCGATCCTTCTGCTTCCATTTCCTTAATGATAGGAAAACAGACAAGGACCACCTTGCCCAGTTTATGAAGTATCAGATATCCCCCCTCCCCCCCCCCCCCAACCCCTTAAGAAAAGGTTTCTCACTGAACCTGGAGTTCATGGCTTTGGCTACACTGGGTGGGATTTGATCTCCCAGGATCCCCATGTCTCCATTTGCTCTCTGCCCCACTTTTAGGTGTGTGCTAGAGATCCAAACCTGGGCCCACATGACTACATGGTAGGACTGTATTCCTCATCTTCCCTGGCGCAGCAAGATCTTACTGAATAGAAAATCAAAACTGTACCTGACACAGCTTTTCTGTGCTGAGCATCCAATGCTTGGTCAATCTCATCAAACAAGTAAAAGGGAGCAGGGTCACATTTCTGAATGGCAAAAATCAGAGCAAGGGCCACCAGAGATTTCTGTCCGCCTGAGAGCTGTTGCATTTCTCTCATTTCACCTTGCTTTCCTGTAAATGACACCTAAGAGAACACGAAGAGTGTTAAAATCCTAAAGGTGATGGTACCATCACCCCTCAAAATTAAGCAGCATATAAGCAATTCAGATCAAATAAAATACAAATTCTACTCTGATAACACTAAAGGAAAACTGAATGGAAAGGGGTTTTTACCCTGATTCCAACTCCTGTGAACTGGTCAACTGATGGGACACTGCTCTGTGACCCAGAGCCCCTCTCACTTTCGCCACTCCCTTCTCCTTCATCTTGAGACTGGCTGCCCTCCACATCTCCTTTCTTCATCACCAAAGTTGCTTTGCCACCAGGTACTAACTTCTGGAATACTTCACTGAAGTTCTTAGATACCTTTAAGAAAAAAAGGTTAATTGAAATACAAATGGGGCTTAGGAATATTTGTTTGAAAAAAAAATGTAAAAGCAATCAGACGAATTTTTAAATCTTAGCCAAAACAAGTGAATCCTCTCCAGTGCTGCATAACACACTCAGGTCATTATGTTGGCAAAGCTAACAGTAGCTACTTAAGTTCCTGTATGTCAGATCCACCTCCAACGAAAGAAGAACTGAAGCTTTTGTCTATTCGGGGTTTTCATCACCAACAGAACATACCTGTTTGAAAGTTAACTGAATAGCTTCATATTTTCGAAGTTCAAGCACGTTCATTAATTCCATGATTGATTTGTAGCCCCTATCCAATTCCTCTTGTCGCTTTATCAACTTTTCTTTCTGCTCAGAGAAATTCACAAACTGATCTAAAGCTTTTTTGTTAACGTGACTGTACTTCTTCAATTCTGTGTTGCACTGCTCAAGTTTTCGAAACAACTAAAAGAAAAACAAAATATATTAATATACTTACACTGTAGGGAATTTTGCAAGGATACTTTAAAGTGCAGGGAAATTCACCTGCTTCAGGCTCAGTGTCTGGTACTTTTCAAAGGCTTCCTGAGGAAGGGACCCCAACTCCCGGATTTTCTTCATGCACTCTTCCTTCTTCTTCAGCAGCATGCCCTGTCGGTTGGTCATCTTCTCCAGCTCTTTGGTGTCATGATTTATGGCATCCATGTGCTCTTTCTCCATATTTTTCCAGCGCTCCATACTCTTCTGGAGCTCTTTAATTCCAGCTTCTGTTTTGTCAATGGAATTATCCAAATCTAAGACAGAAGAAAAAGAAAATTAAGGATATTAAGACTCATTTCATAAGCAGAATGTTATCTGAGTTAAGACTTTGATAGTCAGATTTTCTAAAGTTGACAGGCTTTAAGTTTTCTCAGGGTTTAAATTTTACTGTGAAATTCACAAATCACCTAATTCCAGACAATTTCTCCTGAGTACTCCAGGGGAGAATTTGGGGAATCATTTGCATATGTACACTGTATGACAATTCCGCCCTTGAGGCCACCACACTAGGAACTGACGTGACTCTGGGCCTGGTGCTCACCTCCCCCCTCCATGTTAGTAATGCTCTTGAGAACATCAGCCAGAACATCGAGTACACCATGATGGCAACACAGAGAAGGGATTACATAGTTTTTATAATTTATTTATTTTTTATTATTTTATGTGCATCAGTGTTTTGCCTGCACTATGTCTATGTGAGGGTGTCAGATCTTGAAGTTATAGACAGTTGTGAGCTGTCATGTGGGTACTGGGATTAGAAACCAGGTTAGAAATCTGAAAGAGCAGTCAGTGCTCTTAAACCACTGAACCATTTCTCCAGGCCCAAGGGATTACATTTTTTTTAAATCTTTAAAAAAAAAAAAAATGATTTATTTACTTTTACATTATGTTCACTGGTGTTCTGTCTGCATGTATGTGTATGTGAGATGTCAGATTCCCTGGAACTGTGGTTATAGACAACTGTGAGCTGCCATATGGGTGCTGGGAATTGAACTCAGGTCCTCTGGAAGAGTAAACAATGCTCTTAACCACTAAGCCATCTGTCCAGCCCCCAGGGTTTTGTTAACAACATATGTAACTGGAAGGACATGGTAGCACACACCTTAATCCCAGCATTGGGGAGACAGAGGACAGGCAAACCCCTGAGGATTCAAGGTCAGCCTGATCTTTAAAGTTCTAAGCCAGTTAGGGCTACGTGGTTAAGAATGTGCTTCAAAATCAAGGCGCATGCCTTCAATCCCAGCACTTGGGAGGTAGAGGCAGGCGGATCACTGAGGGTTGGAGGCTGGCATGGTCCTATAAAGCAAATTCCAGGACAGCCTATCTCAAAAACCAAACACATACACCCACCCCAAACAAATGAAAATGAGTGGACAGACTAGCCAGACGACTCACTGGATAAAGTTCAATCCCTGCAATCAGCATGCCCTGCTCTCACACACTTATTAGCTCTCTTTTCCTTCTGCCACTTTCCCCAATAAATAAAATGCAGAACATGTTACTAGTTTCATAAAACTGCCAGAATCATTTTAACAAAACAAAAGTTCCTCCCGTATTTCACTTTGCAAAACAAATTAAACAAAATACTGAAAAAAATTTAAACTAAGTATTTACCTTCTGATCTGGCCATAGTATCTTTTACTCTTTTATTTATAGCTTCAAGTTCTGATGTTGTGGCAGTAAGAACAGTACCACCTTCTGTCTCTCTCAGTTCATTAAGTTCCTGCAATACACAAAAAATAAATTTAGTAAGATTAAACCTCAAATATAAGTTGAGTTTACAATGTTATAATTAGCAGTTTAGGTTAACATTTGAGGAAGCAAATGGCTCATCTATGTGTATGTATTATTTAACTGAAATAACTGAAACAGCCATTAAAGAAGAAAAAAATAATGTAATTACTAGAAAATCTGAGTGCTTAAAAAATAATGTAATTACTAGAAAATCTAAGTGCTTAACTACTAAGAAATTGTAAAGTAACACTAAGCACTTAAGCATGTAGAACATAACAAGATTATAATGATAAAAAGTATGCACAACTATTACACTTTACACTACAGAAAACTATTACACTTTATACAAAGTATGTACAGCTATTACACTTCACACTACAGAAAACTAGCAAAGGAAAGGTCAAATGACTTGCCCAAGTCACACACTACGTGGCAGTGCTGAATTCCAACCTACTCAGTGGGTCTTTTGATCCCTAAACAAGGCTTCCAATCAGTGCTCACTGACACATTTTCTATAGCTTATGATCAGCAAGGAGCTCAGAAAAGAAAGTACCTGTTCTACTTGGTCCAAGCGTTTCCTCAGATTCTCATTCAAGTAAGTCTCTACTCGAGTAATAATACCTTCTAGTTTAATTCTTTCATTTAGCAGTTGTCTGTTTTCCTAGAATGATAGGAAAAAAAAAAAGACAGAATTATGAAATGTGTCAAGAAATGCTAAGGGCCAGAGAGCTGGCTCAGCAGGTAGGTAAAGGCCCTTGCCACACAGCCTGACGACTTGATTTCAGTACTGGAACCCACATAAAGGTGGAGGTAGACAATCAATTCCACAGAGCTGACCTCTGTCTTCCACATATGCACTGTGGCATATATATGCACCCCCACTGCAACACCACTCATACAAACAAAATCATGTTTAAGAAAGAAAGAAATGAGGAAATACCACTAAATCTGTTGTCCTATTGCTTGTATCCAAATGAGCTAAAATGGGAGGTTTTTCAATCCCTGGAACCCACATGGTGCAAGAAGAGAACTGATTCTGACAAGCTGTGCTCTAATCTCCATATCCAGCCATGAAAATGTTTTAAAGTTATTGTTTCTGTTCCTAGTTGTTTTTGTTTTTTGTTGTTTTTCAAGACAGGGTTTCTCTGTGTTATCTTTGGCTATCCTGGAACCCACTCTGTAGGTTGGCCTTGAACTCAAGAGATCTGCCTGCCTCTACCTCCAGATTAAAGGTGTGTGCCACCACGCCCAGCTCCTAGTTACTTTTTTTATAAGACATGCTACCAAGAGGGCTGGAGAGATGGTTCAGCCTCTAAGAACACCAACACAGTGGTTCACAACCATCTTTATCTCTAGGTCCAGGAGATGTGACATCCTCTTCTGGCCTCCAGCTCAGGCATTTTAGTGCACATACACACACAAGTAAAACACTCATACACATTAAATAACAAAAGATATGCTACCAAAACTAACTTTCTTATCCCTGTTTTTATCTTTTGAACTCAATGTGGATTGTTTACAACCATGTATTAAAATAAAAATCAAAAGTCCTGGGCTATCAAAATGGCTCAATGGATGAAATTATTTGCTACCAAGACTACGAACCTGAGTTCCACTCCAGAATTCACATGGTGGAGAAAACCAATCCCTAGGGCCCCCCCTCTAATCTCCACATGTATGCAAACACACACACACACACACACACACCCCCACACACACACACACACACACACCCCCACACACACACACACACACACACCCCCACACACACACACACACACACACACACACACACACACACACGAGTAGCCAGATTAGGCTACATGTGGAGAGCCTTTTAAGAAAAAAGAAAAGAAAAAAAATGAAATTAAAACAAAATGTCATACATAAAGTAACCACACAGAGGAGGTTACATCAACGTGTGCATGCATAGAGAGCTAGCAGTGTCACTGCGATGATGGTTAACACCGTCCATCTGACAGGCTCTGTCATAAAGGAGACAAGTCCCTGGGCACGCCTGTGAGACAGGGATTATCTCTTTGATAGTTATCTGCTCTGAATGTGAGAAGTACCAATCCATGGGCTGGGGATCTGAACCGCATAAAAAGAAAGCAAGCTGAACCTGGATATTCAAGTACCTCTGCTTCAAATGTAATGACCAGCTGCCTTAAGTGTAGATTTTACGTGCTGTGAGCCAAAATAAACCCTTTCTCTCTAATGCTTATTTTGTTGGTGCATTTTATCAAAAGTGACCACTGCACTTACTAATGATAAACATGCAGTGAATAAGACAAAAATCCTAAAATATCCAGAACAGTTTAGACAAGTAAAACAAAACCTTATTTACTCTTCTGGGTATTCAAATTCCATGCCTTGTTGTTTTTATTTTCTTAATATTCTTCTCTTTCAATTTATTTATTTTTCAGTTTTTCAAGGCAGGGTTTCCCTGTGTAGCCGAGGCTTTCCTGGAACTCGATCTGTAGACCAGGCTGGCCTAGAACTCAATGAGATCCACCTGCCTCTGCCTCTCGAGTGCTGAGATTAAATGCATGCATTACCCCCCAACATCAGATACTTCCTGTGCTTCTTGACAATAGCCAATTTTCAATAGGTCTGTTTTCTTCACTGTTAGGTGTACTTGCCTGCTGAAGTTGACGGATTTCATCGTTCAGTGCGTCTACTCTTTTCTGATCTTCTAGACTGAGTTGAGAAAGCAAATCAGTTCCTAGTTCTGCTTTCAGCGATTCTCTGGTAGACTCCATAGCATGCAGACTTGCCTCCAAGCTTTGTAAGCTACGTTGCTACATAACATTATTATTTATTAATATTAGTCACTACAGCACATATAAATAGTAAAACACAGCAAACTATATATATATTGAATAAGCTAAATAACTATCAACTCAATTATGTAAGTACTATTATGTGTTGATAGGAATGTTAGGTTTATTGAAAGATAGGTTTATTGGGATAAAACCAAAATCAACAGAAACGTGTACTAACTAAATGTTTTTCCCTCTTGTTGGTGCTGGAGTTGGATCTAGGGCCTCAGCATCACCCCTGCTGGGCAAGGTTCCATCACCAAGGATACCCAAGTTTGGTAGGTAGAGCTATGTAGGTATTTATAATGCAAAACTAAGAGGAGGAGCAAATATTACATGGCTAAACTATGCAAAAATCTTCAATCATATTCATAAGAACAAAAATTGACAAAATGTTTTGAATAATATAATCAAGGAACCATCTTCTTTCGTCTTTCACTGTGTTGTCTTATTGCTACTGATATACAAAGCATGAAATCAATGACATCTGTACAACTCATGATCCACTCCAAGTCTACACAAAAGCTGTAACAAGACATACTTACGGACCTTTGGCATGAAGGTCTTCTCTGACTGCTGCCTCTTCTCTTTTAGCATCTTCATCTCTGATAATATGCTATCTCTTGATGCTTTAAATTTTCTTTGCTGAGTCTCTATCTGCTGCATTTGGTTCATCAACTGATCAATTTCATTATTAATCCATATACAAGGCTAAGGAAAATTCTTTTATGGCTGTAAATATAGCACATACTCTAAATTCCCTTCAGTTCTTACATTATCATGCATCGTCTCCTTTACCCCTAAGTAATTTCCCCAAATTTATGGACCATCACAATGCTGAACTCAATACTACGGCTAAAAATATAGTCAAAAAAGAAGTTTGGGGGCTGGAGAAATGGCTCAGTGGGGGGCTGGAGAAATGGCTCAGTGGTTTAAGAGCACTGACTGCTCTTCCAGAGAACCCGGGTTCAAATCCCAGCACCCACATGGCAGCTCCCAACTGTCTATAACTTCAAGATCTGACAACCTCACACAGACATACATGCAGCCAAAACACTAATGCACATAAAATAATAGAAATAAATTATTTTTAAAAAAAGTTTGAAATATTTCATTACACATTCTTTCCTAAAATATGCATATTTATTTTATTTATACTTGAATAAAGCAAAATGTAGGAATTAATAAAGTATGCTAAGTAAAATCAATAGCATATATGTGTGTATACACACATATACAAATACACACTTAAATGTTTTATTTTCTTTCAAAAAATATGTATAATTTATTATGCTGAAGGCACTGCTATGAGGGGTCAGGTATGAAGAGCATCCTTTCTCTTTGGATGTGTGTGCATGGGTGTAGGTGTGCATGCACACACGTGGAGGAAGGCCAGAGGTTCATATTTGTTGTCTTCTTTTACTTTCTCCATTACTTTTTTGTTTTTTTCAAGACAGGATTTCTTTGTGTAGCTTTGTAGACCACCGCGGTGCACTCACAGAGATTCACCTGCCTCTGCCTCCTGAGTGCTGTGATTAAAGGCGTGAGCCACCACTGCCCGGCTTCTCCATTACTTTTTGAGAGTATTTCTTCAAGAGTCTGGAAAGTACCAGTAGGTTAACCTTGCTGGCCAGCAAACTCCTAGGATCTACCTGTCTCCGAGTGCTAGGGTACAGAAAGCACCACCAAACCCAGGTTTTCACACAGGAACTAGGAATCCGAACTCAGGTCTTTAAGCTGTGCTCCAAGCACTTTACCCACTGAGCCAGCGCCCAACATACAAGCATCCTTTTCTTAATTCTTCCTCATATTCTGTCCTAATCTTGCCACACTTAAGCACTTAAAGTATCAGACACAGATCCCTGCAGAACCAAAGCTAAGACATTTGTCTTTTTCTGTATGTTGTTTCAACTGCAAACTTGCAGGTTAAAAAAAAAAAAAAAAAAAACTGTTAAGGATGTCCTGAAGTGGTAAATTCCTGATGCTCAGGTGCCCACACTCTCAGGTGCACACAGCAAAAGCACCATTGTTGTTTAAGATCTGAACCTACACAAGTGTTCTGTTGGGAGTTGAACACTTCATGTAGCCCTTCATGTAGCACTACACTTAATCGGAAGCGTTACAGTTACTCAGATCTGGATACCTGTCATTACCTCCACTAAACTAACTCTGTCATGAGAGTACATGCTGTAGGACATGTCCCATTGTGTGCACACTGGATGTCTGTTTGGTAGCAGCACTACTGCACACCTGAAACAGCAGCCAGGTCTTTCTTCTGTTTCCTCTTTGCCTGACAACCTTTTTATTGCTCTTCAAATTCTATTTCTTCAAAGCACTCACTAGTATTAGCTACTTAACAGTAAAACAAAACAGTATTACTTTTTACATTTTTTCTTAGTCCTCAGAAGTTAAACAAGTTCTAATATTTAAAAACTAAAATGAAATGTGTAATCCCCCCATGCAATATTTAAAAAAGAAAAAACAACCAAACCAAAACAAAATACAACCTAACACACAAGACTGTATGCTGCAATTAAAATGCAGTTCTTTCTCCCATTAAGCACAAAACAAAAAGATATTTTCAATGTTTCTGCGCAGGTTTTCATTGAGCTTTGCTTCAAGCTCACCCAGCTCCTCTTCTGCTTTTCTAACGTCTTTCTGTAACTCAAGTCGAGACTTTCTCGTGTCATAGTAGCCTCCAGTCAGAGCACCTCGATGGCTGACTTGGTCACCTGTGAACAAAAGGTAAGAGTTACTCTGTATAGCAGCCTTCTTATGCACAGTAAACTGACTTATAGGAAATACTAACCTAAGGGCTTTAACAACACAGATTGAAGAGTAACTTAAGAATTTAAGCTACTCTTTAAAAACCTTACTTTTCATATTAAAATTGGCAGTCTTTGTGAAGATTTGAGTATCAAAAATTTGAGCTAATGTGGAACCACAGTGAATTTAAAACAAGAATCCACAAATAGTTTTAAAAAAATTGAAAGGAAGGTTCTTTGCCAAAGTAACGGGTAGAATAAATGAGAGAAGAATCATGTCTTTGAAACCCTGAGTTTATTAACAAAGTATGCTTAAGAAATTGTCAGGGAACCTGATATTCATGTAGACTCTACCTACATACCTATCTACCTACCTACCTACCTACCTACCCACCCACTCACCCATCCATCCATCCATCCATCCATCCATCCATCCTGGCTGTCCTAGAACTAGAGATGTAGACCATGCCAGCCTGAAATTCAGAGATCCACCTGCCTCTGCTGGCATTAAAAGTGTGTACCATCACAACCAGGGCATGTAGTCCTACAAAAAGCTTCACATATTATTAGCTATAAAGAAGTATCTTGGGCTGGAAAGATGGCTCAGAGGTTAAGAGCACTGGCTGTTCTTCCAGAGGTCCCGAGTTCAATTCCCAGCAACCACATGGTGGCTCACAACCATCTGTAATGAGATATGGTACCCTCTTCTGGTCTGCAGGCATATATGGCATATGGAGGCAGAATGCTGTATACATAATAAATAAATCTTTAAAAAAAAAAAAAGTATCTTTACTTCTAGACATGCTAATGATCAACTTTAGCATCATTAATATTTGGATAAATTATCTGATGCATTGAGAAACAAACACCACTAACACAGTAGTCATAGCAAGAATGTTAAACTGGAATCTAATGAGGAGGAATAGATATGACAAATGCAAAGAATAGAAAATTTCCCCAGAGTCAGTCTCTAGGGAAGTGAAAGGGAAAATGAGCCTGGTATAGCAGTACACGCCTTAATCCCGATTTTAGAAGGCAGAGACAGGAGGATCAAGGCCAGCCTAATCTACACAATGAGCTCTGGACAGCCAAAGTTACAGTGAGACCCTTTGTGTGTTGTCAACACCACCCCCACCCCACCAAAAAGGGAGTAGGACAAGAGGCACTGTCTTTTAATGTTCAAAGTTTTAGGTGTGACAATGTACTAACTGGAAAATGTCTGTCTTAAGAGACACTCAGTAAATTCTAGGATGAAATATTATTTACAGCTTATTTTCTTTTTGTTTTTTTTGTGCAACAGGGTTTCTCTGTGTAACAGCTCTGGCTGTGTTGGAACTAGCTCTGTAGACCAGGCTGGCCTCACACTCACAGAGATCCACCTGCCTCTGCCTCCCGAGTGCTGGGATTAAAGGTGGGAGTCACCACTGCCCAGTTACTGCTTTTTCTCATACAGGTGGTTTAACAATGTGGGTATGTTACTTTGAGAAATTATACAAAAATGAGTAACTTTAATAATGTGTAAACTTACATTATTAAAAATTCTTATCCTGTATTACATAAATAAATCCAATTATATTTGAGTGAGGAAAAGTTTGTTATTACCCTTGGAAGAAAATATAGCATTATTAACACCCGTGACTTCCATATAAAGAAAACAAGCTTTTCTAAAATGTCAGATTACACTTGTTACAAATATCAAAATATTATTTGTATGATGCAGTAAATTTTTGAAATTTTGGTAGTCAGCTGAGTGTAGCGATGTATGCCTTTAATTCCAGCACTTGGGAGGCAGAGGCGTGTAGATCTCTCTGGGCTCAAGGCCAGTCTGGTATACATTATGAATTCCAGGCTGGCCACAGATGCACACCTGAGACCGTTTTCAAACAAAATATTAGACCCACTGCTATTATTTTAAAGGATCATGTTAAAACTGTTTCGGTAATTATCCTAATAAACAGGTTTCTTAACCGGTTTTTAATTTTTTTCTTCTTTTTTTCCCTCAAGACAGGGTTCTTATGTAGTCCTGTCCTAAAACACATTCTGTAGACCAGGTTGGCCTCGAACTCACAGAGATTCCAGCCTATCTGCTGGGATTTACCACTACCCAGCTATTGCTTGCATTTTTGAGAAAAGCTCCACAGGCTTCCTTGTTCAACAGTCAAAGGAGCACATGGTGCCAGAGACCAAACATTTACACTCACACACAGGATCTACACTTTTATTTAAACCATTTTAAAAACTGATGAAACTTGTGTGAATTTTCAAACACTATTAAAATATGACTAAATCCTTCAACATACTCACCACTATGCTTACAGCCCGAGTAACACATTACACATCCCATATTAAAGTTTCATTAGAGTGTGTTTAAAGCTAATTATTATTACAAACCTTCCAAAGTAATACAATCCATAGTGAAAGCACGAGCTAGCTGAGTAGAAACTTCCATGCTCCGACAGATGAGTGTCTTCCCAAACACATGTTTGAAAGCTTTGTCAAACCTGGGATTGTACCTCAGTTTACTGATCATAGGAATAGCATCCTGCAACGAACATTGTTAGGAAAAATACTGTGACACAGTTGATTAAAATCTGTAGAATTATTACTATCATCTATGTTTTATGAAACAAAAATACAAGTAGCCTTATATTACAAGTTATTGGTTTTTATACAGAAGACATTAGAAGAAAATCATCGAACTGAACTAGCCTGGAAACTCTGCCCCTGTAGCCAAAGGATTAACAACTGGTTACTGCAAAGAGTAACTGTAAGCTGACCTGACCAAGAAAGGTTAATTCCTAGTTCTGCCACCAGGAGATGTTTACTTATCTTATCTAGTTAAGACCTACTTACTATGTGTTCAACTGTAGTAACAGCCCCTTTCTTATCAAGTTGCAAAGATTCAATGAGGTAGCATGTGGAAAGATGAGATAGTATAGACGACATAAAAGGTAAAAACACAAAACTAGTTATTTCTTCAGTGCTCTAATTAGATAGGACAGACATCTAAATTAGATGTTTAGGAAAACACTTCTTCAGATCCTTATTTTCCAGACTAGGAGAATGGCTCAGCATGTAAAGGGCTTCCTGTGCAAGCATAAGGACCTGAATTCAGATACCAGAACCCATATAAAAAGCCAACCATGGCAACACACACCTGTAACCCCAGCACTGGGGGTGAAGGGGGCTGGAGAAGTTGGACAGATAGATCCCTGGAGCTTACAGGACTAGTCAATCTAGCCAAAGAGGTCTTAGGCTTGGTAAAGTGACCCCTTCTCAAAGATTATGGTGGAAAGGGATAAGAGGACATTTTCTGGCCTCCACTTGTACATTAACACACTACATATCATTTTCATTTTTATTTCCTGAAGTCACAGCAGGACTTTTTAATAATAACAGAGAGAACATCAAGGTAACCACTATGTATCACAAGAAGGAGTGTACTGTAGTGCAGAAGCCATTTCTGACCGCATAGCAGCTACTATGTGGTTACCCACTGAAGGTGATCTTGTATTTGTCTGGTCTACTGTCTTAATCAGGTCGCTCTTTATACTGTACAGACAGAACCATACTGCATCCATTCTCTTTCTGTCATGGTGAGGACTAAACCCAGAGCATCTTTCTTCCAATGAGCTACAGACATCTCAAACTCTCTTCCTCCGCACAGTCTTTCTGTGCATGTACCTGTTTAGACATGCCACAACATGCATGTAGAGGTCAGAGGAAAATTTTTAAGACTCAGTTTTCTCCTTCTACTAGGTGGGTTCCAGGGACGGAACCTGGATGCTCAGACTTGGCAGTGCACGCCTTTATCCACCCAGTCACCTTCCCAGCTTTGTTTTGTTTCATTCATGTCTTATCTGTGAGCCTCAAGTTTCCTCCCCAGGGCTTCAAAGGTGAAATTGATATACTTGAAAACAAGAAAGTCTGTCAACATTCTAAATCAGTGTTCATTCTAATATAGGTCCAGCCTTACTCCTAGAGCATAACAGTTTATTACATAATCATCACTCTGAGATCAAATACCTCAAAGCAATTAACGTTTCCAAAGTTGGTAATTCATTTAAAGTATATATATATCTAGTAACAAAAATAGACACTTTTAATTTAGTCTAAACTGTTTTAAAAACATACCCAAAGCCAGGCAGTGGTGGCACACGCCTTTAATCCCAGCACTGGGGAGGCAGAGGCAGACCAATTTCTGAGTTTGAGCCTGGTCTACAGAGCCAGTTCCAGGACAGCTATGGCTGTTACACAGAGAAACCCCGCCTTGAAATACAAAAGAAAACAACCCCCTTCCCCCAAAGCATATCCAGAAAACTTCAACATATTCTTTTTATATGACCCATTTCTTGGGAATTCTTCCCCAATCCCTAAACCTACTGCTGTCTGTAGGGAGACACTGTAACCCCGCCTCCTAGTAGCCCGGACAGACCAGTGAGGGCGTGGTCAGGGGAGGTCTAAAGGTGACCTTCTTAAGGGACAGCGCACACGTGAATAGCCTTCTCTCTGGGCACGCTTTGGCTTGTGCTTGGCTGGTGTTTATCTGAATAAAGAAACCTTAGCCTTACGGACTGCAGATCGATCTCTTCAGCTGTCTGTCACCAATAATAAACATTTATGCAATGATTTGTTTCATTACTTGGCTGTGACCTCTCCCTTCTCGACCCAACCCAGCACTAACTACACTCCACGCAAAGAAGGAGGCATGTTTACCTTACAGATCAGTGAATCCCAATGTAGGTACCGAAGCACCAAAACACATTAAGTAAAGTTATAATAAAAACTCAGCATGAGACTCACGTTGGTTTCAGGATAGGCGGTATCTCTCACATCTAACTTGTTAAGAGGCAGAAAAGTCACCTCTCCAGGAAGATTCATTTTATTGAACTCCATTAAAATCTTTGTGCTGACTTCATCTGAATCAACAATGTGATAAAATAACCTACACAAACAGAGTAAGACACATCTTTACTGCCAGACTATAAGGTATTTAAAGCATTTAAGGATCACACACTTCACATTTTTCTATGCAATCTAAGCAATTTGTCTGGAAAAAAAAACTGAGAACACTCTAATGAACTGGTGAGCCCCGAAAGGGTAAAGTTCTAGAAACAAGTATCTAGCATCTACCTTCTTTAATTAGAAAGTTAAATATAGAACTAAGGACAAGCAGGTAATGGAAGACATATAGTACTACAAAACTACAAAATTGCTTTTAGATTGCTCTCATTTCTTCATCTTTACAAGAGGAACAACAACAAAACCCACTTAAATGTCAGACCCAAAACAAAGCCTCACCTGTTACCAGCAGTGACCTCCACACAAGTATAGAAAGCTGGCTCACACTCAAAATTATTCATTACAATGCCATGGTAGCCATTTTGAACATGTTGGTTTATTCCTTTTCGACGAAAATGATCTAGCACTTTGTTTATGCTGTCTATTCCATTTAAAATGGCCTGTAAACCAATTAATGAAAAATATTAGCATCACCAATGACACTCCTGCTGCCAAGAAATGAACCTATTATGCCATTCCTTAGATATAACACCAAAAATTAAACATCCAGCCTATCATCCACTTGAGAGAGAATAACCACATTACAGTACTACGGCTTCTGTTCTATGATGTAGAGTTTAAAGTGGGCTCTTTATCAACTACCAAAATTGCTTCCATTAATAAGTAGTGAACCAGGTACGATGGCACACATGGAGCTCATTCCTGCACTCATAGAGCTGAGCAGGACCACAAGTGTGAGGTCAGCCTGAGCTACACAGCAAAACCTTATAACTCAAACACAGCAAATAAAAGAAAGCAAATAAAAGAAAACCTGTCTACATAATGCCACTTCCTCCTACTTCTGGGTAATCTCTTTTCTGCTTCGGAACCCAGACTGTACACATTGACTGAAGGGCAGCTCAGGAAATGAGAAACCCCACTTACCTTCCCTGTTGCCGCTCTAAGAAGTTGCTGCTTCTTCTCCAGGTCTTCTCTTTTAGCAGCGAGTGCCTGTTGCTCTGCATTCTCTTCTCTCCATAAGTAACTAGTCAGTAAGAATGAGATGTGAACAGTATTTATTAAGAGAAAAATATTGAAACCAAACAAAGACCATGTAAAAATTACTGCATCTTAGTCTACTAACTTCCTTTCACTTTGTAGTTCATCTTTCTTATTTTTTACTTCATAGTATTTTCTGTCCAGTTCTTCAACTCGAGCTTTGACTTCATTGAGATCCTGATCCAGTTTCTATAGGAAAAACATTTATTATCAATTTAATCCAGAGACAAAAAGCAGACATACATATATTGCAGTTCAACAAATGACATAAGTATGTCCAATTTATTATATATTGATTATACATGAAAGAAGCTACTAAAAACCCAGTCTGAGCTACAGAGTAAAACAATGTCTCAAACAAACCAAAACAAAAACAGCAAAATTGTTCTTACATTATATTGCTCCAGATTTTTCTCTTTATTTGCCTCTGTATCCTCCAAATCCTTATGGATAGCAGCAATCTGTCTTTTTTTGTCATTAATAGCCTGATCTAAAGACTTCAGCTCCTTTTTAATCCACTTGTCTCTCTCTTCTTTTGATGTAAACTGGCTTCCCCTACCCTGCTTTGCATAAAGGTCAGTTCTTTCCTGGGTAGCTTGAGCCAATCTACAGAAGACAGAAGAGAATAAGAAATAAAGTAACTGCAATCATTATCAATCCTACGGAAACTATCCTTTTAGGAATTACATTCTAAGGGAATTAAGGGCTGGTGAGATGGCACAGGACCCATATGGTAGGAACATTCTTAAAGTTGTCCTCTAACCTTCACACATGCGGCAAGCACATCCACATCCCACAATGAAACCAAGGGGTAGGGGACTAAGTGCTAAAAATAACTGCTACATGGTAAAGCTCCCTGTGCTACCTGATTTTCTATTATGAAACACCAAATGCGCTTTGATAACCGGAATAACCCTTCATAAGGATTCTATGCAGACCCAAGGTCTGGGTTGGTCACTAAATCTAGACAATGCTATTGTCCCCCCTCAGAAACTTTCAAACATGTTCTAACTGTAGTTAAATGATACATGAACTCTCAACTATATGATAAAACACCATAAAGAATAAGATGTTTTTAACATATTGAACTCAAATGTTCTGATAACATAAAATATCTCTATAATACAATAAGGGGAGACCCTCACACAATGATAGGCAAAGAATATATACAGCTGGCTACTACTATAAACACGTGATATTTAAGTGTTAAGGGGCTATAACTGGAAGAGTGGAAGCGCACCTACAAGGCTTGTAAGCAAAAACACAAAATACACTAACTCGAAAGGAGTAAGTGAACACTGAAATCTAGATGAATACTACAATGTCTGGAAGTTAAAACAGCATTGAATGGGGAAAAATTCAAAATGAAACAAGTTATTAAGATCTGGCATGGTAGCATGTACCTTGTGATTCCAGCTAAACTTGAGGCTGAGCAATTTAAGGCCAGCCCCAAGCCTCAAAAAGATGCTGCCTAGACAGGCATTGGTGGCACAAACCTTTAACCCCAGCACTCAGGAGACAGAGGCAGGTGGATCTCTATGAGTTCCAGGACAGGCTCCAAAACAATACAGAGAAACCCTGTCTCAAAAAAACAAAACAAAACAAACAAAAAGATGCTGCCTGGATTTTTTGATGTTGTTATCTTAACTATCTAACCTTTCAGAACTAAGTTGGGGACACAGCTCCTTTGGCAGATACTTGCTTAACATGCAAACCCTAGGTTCATCCCTAGGACCTATATAAATACTGGGTTAGGTGTTGCACACATGGTGCAGGTGCCTATAATTCCAGCACTTTCTAAGTGGGGTCAGGAGGATGAGAAGTTCAAGGTTTCTTTAAGTTACATAATGAGCTGAAGGCCACCCTGGGCTTTATGAGATCCTGCCTCAAAAACAAAACAAAAAATCCAAAATCTCTCGGAACCTCAGGGTTTTTTTGTTTAAGTTTAAAGCTGACAGTGGCAGCCAACAGATCACTGAGTGAGAAGAGACTCTTGCTGACAAACTTAGTAACATCAGCTCCATCCCAACCCACATGGCAGGAGAAAACCTATTTATTTGTTTGTTTGTTTATTTTTGGTTTTTGAGACAGGGTTTCTCTGTGTAGCTTTGGAGCCTATCCTGGCACTCGCTCTGTAGACCAGGCTGGC